AAGCAAATTATTGAGTTCATCCATTCATCAGGTCATGTACGTCATTGTGGAATCATTTATTGTACCTCAAAAGCTTCATGCGAGGAGGTTGCGAAAAAGCTTAGGTTAGCTTGCTTTAAAGCATCATTTTATCATGCCGGATTAGACGCTGCAGATCGGACACGTATTCAAGACGATTGGCATTCAAATAAATGTAAAATAATTGTAGCAACTACAGCATTTGGAATGGGAATAGACAAACCGGACGTACGATTTGTTATTCATCATTCACTTCCTCAGTCGCTTGAAGGTTATTACCAAGAAACTGGACGTGCCGGGAGAGATGGAAAGCCGTCCGACTGTGTGCTATTATATTCATATTCAGATAAACACACCATTGACAGATTAATTATTCACGGTGAAGGAAATTATGAACAAAAGCAACAGCAAAGAGCTAATTTACGGGAAATGTTGAAGTATTGCGAAAATCAGATTGATTGTCGACGTCAACAAATCATGGCATATTTCGGGGAACAATTTGATAAAAGCCAATGCCAATTCACTTGTGATAACTGTAAAAATGCACTTACACAACAAAGATCAACATACGATGCGCAAAAAGACGCTAAGGTACATTATGGTGACTCCAAAAAGGAAATCTGTAAATCACGTTTTTGAAATTTTGCTAAATTTACTTTTAATTGTAATATCTTGAGATACAGTAATTGAATACATATGATTTTAATACCGTACGAATCAACTCATCAAGTTGATTTGAATATTATTAATAATCTCGTGTGTTATTACTAGATCTCAAAAAATATTATAATTAAAGGTAAACCTTCAAAGAACAGGATTTACAAATTTTCACTTGGCGTTATTCATATGCAGAAATTAACTATTTAATTAATAAATCAAGCTCTACAACGTAAATTGATGTTAACTACTTTAAAAGAACATAGTGACATTGGTACAGTATAATCGACATAAAGACGTGACATTAACTCAATATGTCAATATACTGAAAGGATCAAGCAGCAAATCCACAGAAAATGTAGTAAAAACAAAGCAGCTTATACTACCACCAAATTTTAAAAC